GCTGAAATAAGAGTCTCTGGAGTACTGTCTCTCTATACTCAATTGAACCAATAGGCGCTCGCAACAATGGGGAAGGGGATGGTAACTTGGAATAATGCTCCTCCTTATTTCAGGATTCCTAAAGCATTAGTCTGTCCTGGCCCTTCTGTTCTATTGCATTTTTTCTTTATTTCTTCCACACAGGCAGCCAGTAAAATGTGCTTGATAAGTAGAGTTGTTACATATGATTTCATGTAAAATGTGTGGTGCTCCTTTGTTTGTAGTTTACATAAATAGCTTTGTGTTTTAGAACTTGCTTTGTTTCTTTCATGTTTCGGGAGGCAGCCTATTTCAATGCTTTTGATGCTGCAGAGACTCTCATGGGAGTACCCCTGCACCTAGTATTTTCCTCCTCTGCCCTGAATCTATGGCTTTCCTAGTCTGAACTCAATCCCCTAGTAATGCAGTCTGTGAGGCTAGGAGGCCCATTCTTACAGGTCTGTGTAAGGGTTTGGAGTACGCTCCCTGAAAAGAAATCCTGGTTACTGGCTATAGGAAAGATGGGCTGAATCAGTTTATATTCTTGCCAGCAAAAGATGAAGACCATTCTTGGTACTTTCTATCTGCCTGGTTTGTGGTATCAAACAAGCAATCATGTTTCTGATTATTTGTGATGTAGGGAGTGAATCCCTTCAGATACTTATTAGCCATTTGGATTTGTCTTTCTATCAATATTCTACTGTACCATGGCATTTTATGTCTCTTTCTCATTGATTTGCATAATCTACCTGTATGTTCCTGCTATTAATCCCATGATGACTCAGATATTGCGAATACCTAATTATAAACACCTGCTCTCTGATATATCTGGATTTGGTTTGCTAACATTTTGTTTGAGACTTTTGCTGTCTTCCTTTCATTGCAAAGTAAAGTGAAAGTTGGGTAAGAGAGGCTCTTATTACTTTTCTGTGGAAAATTCCACAAGAACCATCAATTTACTAATTTATCCCCATGTGTATGTGCAGTATTAGCTAAATGTATCTGCCAGATGTCAGGTAAAGCCCTACATTCCAAGTCAGTGAAACTGCTTCTCTCGTTTCTTTAAAACTAAACAGAGTACCCCCCAGAATCATATGGGATTGTGTCCTATAGGAAATCATACTACTGTTAATTTTCCATTTGCTTTGGGGCTCTCCAGTTCCATTTCGACATGAAACCTGACTGTCCCTTTGCATTTGCTTCCCCAAGTAATTTGCTACACCATGCATTAACCAATGATTTGGTTAATTATCTAAAGACAAGAGTGTTACAGCATGTTTTCTACCTCTTGAAATGTAAGTGCTCTGTCATCTTTGCTTGTCTCCCACCTCTATTGCTGTAAATTGTTCTCCTTCTGTCATACAGAGCAATTTGGCTTTCACAAACTTGACTTCTGAATGCTTAGCAAAACAAAATGCCCTCTTGTTAGCCTGACACCCCTAGAAGCCAGCTGGATCACGAATGTGCCCTGTAGAGAAACTACTCTCTATGTTGCAACACCAGTGAATGGTTTTTCCATGGACACAACCTAAGGAGAGGTGAAGCAGCCTGTTTTGTATGTATTTTTTTGAATTGGGGTAGATGAGCCGTTTAGGAAGGGGAGTGGAAAACATTTCCAAAGAAGAGTTGTCGTTCATATTTCATCAGAGGTTGAGGCCTTTTCCCACTTAAGGGACTGCTTTTGCTTCTGAAGCATGAAGGATCCTGAGACCTGCCCTGTGGCCAACTGTGTACGACCTGGAAGTGGAAGGGAGTAGTCAACCCCAGTCTGATAATAAGAGACGTGAGCTACTCCCAGACGAACTATGCTGAGATACAGTGGTTCACATGGCCCCTTACAAGATGATGTTGTACAACTGAGTGATTACTTATGCTTGGTACTAAGTGACCAACCCAGCAGCATACCCTGAGTTTAAAGAGTGCAACATGGTCCATTTTCATCAGGTAGCCTGTGGATTCTCTGAGATACATGTTCAAAGCACATCTGTAAAATCCTACATTTCAGTAGTTCTAACAAGTTTTGATTTGTTTTGAATAACATTTAATGTGTCAGAACTTGTGTGTAGCCATGAACCTGTTAAGAATTCCACATATGGATAAAGTTAAAGGGTCCTGAGTAGCTAATTGTGGAACTAGAAAAACTGTCATTGTGAGGATGGAGAAGCAAGCCAAATTTGTCCTCTGGCTCCTTTTCAGTTGAGATTATTAGCATGATCTAGCTGATAGTTGTATGAAGTCGGGATTGACTTTGCTTATGGAAAGGAGTTACAAATTGCACCCCTGGAAGATATATTCATATATATATGTTCATAAATATATATGAATATATGAGAGTTATATATATATGAATATATATATGAATATATATAACTCTTTCATATATATATATACTCTTTCCAAAATAGAACAAATTAACTGACTTTTTTGGGGGAAGGAGGTTAACACGTTAATTAGGGTGAAGTTGGAAGGTACATAATGTTTAAAATTATACTCAGTTCTCTGAATAAAGTGTGGAAGAATTCAGAAAATAGTCCTTTGCATTGATGTAAACTTGGGAAATGATAAACGTTTGCTGCATCTTACCTGGACTGGCCTTTTCCATGAGCCAGGGAGGATAAGATCAAACACTCTTTCTGGAAAGTGTTTGGTTCATGACCTGGTCATATGTACTGAGCTTCCTCTGTGCTGAGGAGACCCTAATGCTGTACTGAAAATGGATATGCTTCCAGACTTAACTTTCCCTGTGACCACTTTTTTTTTTGCTTTTGCTTGCCCACCATCCTTCCCTACTTCTTATAGCAGCAAGACTTAGAATGGTCTTTGTGGAATCACCCTTGCCCTGACTCAATCCATAGTTTAGATAGGGCTGATTATTCCTTCAGTTCCAAAATTGCAAAAGGATTCAGCTAATTAGCACATCCTCCTCCTCAAAGGATGTGCCCTCCTCAAGGATGGGCACATGGCTCAGGGTGGGTCCAAGGTGAGGATTAGGTCCAGGATTTTCATTGGAATTTTTGGGGGGCAAAGAAACTTCTTTCCACTATATTTGGAGTTGTAAGGCTAATCCTGGAGCTACTGAAGGGCACTGTAAAGTGAAAGGTTATGTAAACATGAAGTCTATATAAAGGCGAGGTGAAGAGAGGAGCTTTCTGACATCAACTGAGCATCCAAATCCAACTCTGCCTCAACCCTTTTGGAGATATTATATCTCCAAATTTTCAAATTTTTAGTCAATAATTCTCTTTATGCTTCAAAGCCAGTTTGACTTAGCTTTTTGTCATTTGTTATAGAAAGAGTCTCAATTAATGTGTTCAGGGCAATGTGGATTGAGATATACGTTGGTAATTGCTGTTAGTAATAATTCTTTTAACAATATTCTGGAATACTCTGAGATAGGAAGATGGATTTAGTCCTTGAGTTGCAAAAACACTAACTCTTTCTGACTTCACCTCTGTTGAGCCTCCTAAAGAGGTAATTCTCCCATCATTTTCTACCTCTGTCCTCCCCTCCCTCCATAATTTCCTCCAAAATGAATTTATTTGTGAAACTCATGCCTTACACCCTTGTTTCCTTCCTTTTGTCAGCAGCTGAGGTGGGAAGAGTAGGCAACTCTGCACCTATTAGGAAGTAACAATATTTAAAGAAAGAGGCAAGAAAGTACATCCATTATAAGCTTTTTCTCTTTTTTTTCTTTTTCTCTTTTTTAGAATTTAAGCTTATGAGTTTATCTATGCCCACTATATTCATAATTACAATTTAATATCTGCATACAAAAGCTATGTAAAAATCCATTTTTCCCAAATATACAAATTTTCTTTTTGGATAGTTTAAAACATTTTGATCACAGATTTCAACAGAGTTTTAGGCTGAAAAAAATATTACCAATTTAGCAATATCACTTAACACTGTTTGCAAAACACAAATCTTTCAATGACTGTAAATCTCTTTTTAAGCTGTAGCATTTTTTTAGGGCATGAAAACATTATAGGTGAAAAAAATTTTCTCTAAAGAAGGTATGGAGAACTAATTTGGCTCTATGATGAAATTAAAGATTCCAGGTTCATAAAGAATATCCAAAAGAAAGAAGTGGCATAAAGTTATGTCAGCTCATTCATGCCCTGATAATCTCCCTATCAACAATATACGTGTGAAGTGTCTTCTTTTGTCTTACATTGTGCTCCATAACCTACATGAGTACTGTCTGCACCTGGAAGAGTGCAGAGTTATATCTGATTGTCTTGTGCATAAGGTGGGTCAGCTTTGACTGTGCGACAGAAAGCCACAAACAGTGTTTTACCTGCACGATATTGCTCTCGAAGGCGGCATTAATGTGGAAACACACTAGAAATGCACACTTTTTGCATTTGCAAATATTTATACAGCACAGTAAAAATTCTGTGATAAGGCCAAACCTTTTTTTTCCCTCCCTAGTCTGTTTTTTTGTGTGTGTTTTTAAATGTATATTTTTTTAAAGATTAAAGTAAAATGTTTCAATTGTAAAAAATACACACCGGGCAAATCCTTACCTGGATAATAAATATCTACATCACAGTACAATAAAATTTCTTCTCTATAAAATTTAAATATGGATTATAGGCTATCACTATGAAAAGAAACACTATGCTAATATTTCCATATTATTAAAATAACAGGAAAAATTATGAGCTTATTTGAGAACCTGATGCCTTTGCTTGGAAAGGGCAGAGATTCAAATGTCTGTCAGCACTCTCCCTTTGAGGAGGAACTGTGGCTTGGTTATTCATTTAAATTAAGTTCATGAAAAAGGTTTAGCCTTACAAATTCTGGCTACATTTCAAAAACCATAAGACTGATTTCATAATTTAGGACTCATGCAGCAAAAGTTCAACATGACACAAATAGGTTAGAGTTCCACAGAATAAAGATGTATCACGACAATGACGTGCTCTGAGGGTTCTCAGCAGTGCCATGGAGGCCGAGTCTATGGGGGGAGGGGGGCCTGTGTTGAGGAGGGCCAAGACCTGTGCACCTGTTCACGGAGCTGCAACGACAGTGGCGTTGTGCGAACAGAGCTGGGCCTGGCTGCCCTCTCTGAGGACTGCACTGCAGACCGAGGTGGTGTCACTCGGGGCACAGAAGTGGACAGCACTGGGCTGAGGCATTACACATCAAGTGCGTGCGTCATTGAGGACCGAGGCTCATTTGACTAGAAAAAGCTTTGAGGCGGCACGTGGTGTTTTCAGCAGAATCATAAAGAAGCAAAGATCTTACTCTTTTTAGTTTCTGCAAGTTCTGCACATCTAAGTTGGAGAGCAAAGTACACCTGAGGGTACAAACACACATGTACACACTTGTACGTACACATGCACACACATACACGGTGTGTGCACCCACCCCAATCATCCCCACAGTGAGTGATTTATAAAGAAGAACCCCAGTAGGATGTGTATGTTCTCTTTGACTGGGATGCACCCCCATGGTGAGGGCCGGTATGAAGGCTCCTTCCAGCAAGTCCACATTTGATTGGAAAGTCTGGACAACGTAACAAAAAATGCTTTTAAAAAATTGGGAGCAAATCCCTTACAACTGAGTTTTATGAGATGAGTCTTGAGATGCCCTAAGTAGCCCAGTTTCAGGAGTGAGTTTAGTCATTCTCTCCACCAGGGTCATGATCCTTTGAGTCCTTAACACTTTTCCTTTCAATCTGAAGCACTCTGAGGCTTGTACTGCTTCAGTCCAAGGTATCCAAGCTTCAACAAGACTTCTAGACCAGTGGTTTGCCTATTTAAGGCAATCATTTAAGGATCTGAGGATCAAACCTTGCTTGGGGCTGGCTGGCTTGCTGTAGATAGAATGTGCCATTTGGCCAGTGCCCAATAGTGGTTAGTTCCCCAGAGTATTCTGATTTAACTTGAGATCAGGCTTACACTGACCTTTGAATTCCGGTGTCTGATGTCCTGGGGAACCTGTTGAGCAAACGAACAACCTCTCCCTGAAAGCCCTGATGTTCCAGGAGTTTATGATCCTGTCCAGCACCCCATCTGCTTGCTTTCTTCCCTTTCCCTCTGGAATGAAAACTTGCCCAACATGGCAAACTTGTTACCCTGGAGCAGAGAAGTGCTAAGTGTTTTTCAGAGAGAGAGAGAGAGAGAGAGTTCCTCAAGGAGAGTCAATAGAGGGAGCTGAGATGTGAACAAAGCAAGCAAAGTAAGGAGACTGGCTAGGGGCTGCTTAGAAAAAACAACAACAAACCCAATGGTCTGTAGAAAGTCAAAGCAAGGAATCTGCCTCTGAACTTCACTTACCATTTTATTCTCTTCAAGTTCCATAGTGATATTCTTCTTTTCTTTTTCCCAGAAGCCAGTAATTGCTTCCACCTCCTCAATTATTTCCAGTCATACCTGGGATTTTCAATACTGTTCCTTTTCCCAAGGCTGTCCTGCCTTCCTCTAAACAGTTGACAAGTATTATATCACTCTTATTTTGAAACAATATCAACTATACATTTCTTAACCGCTAATGGGCCATATTTTTGTCTAATGAAGCAAGAAATTTGAATATGAAAGAAATCATAAGCATCATACCCCCTTTAAAATTCTTACAATATTGAGGGTGAGAAGAATTTTGGAGATCATGACTTATTCGCCAGATAAGAAAACCAAGACCTAAGACCTTAAATTTACCAGCCAGCAGAGCACAAACTAGAACTCCAGCACCCTGATTTCTAGGCCAGTTATGCTCCACCAAACCTAAAAGAAAATCAGTCCACTTGGTTTTCACAATGACTTTCATTCCTTTGTTTTTAGGTAAATCTTACTGATATGGCTTATTTTCCCCAATATTTTCAGGATAAGGCAGTAAAAGGTAGGCAAGGAATAGTTTACATCTACTATGCCAGTGAAGAATGAGATACATTCAGTTGCGTGGGTACATTCTTTGCCCATTTTCTTGAAGTTGAAGTGATGAGATGTCGTCATTTGTTTACTGGGTGCAGCTACTCCATGTAGGTTGTTAGAGGGGAGATTGGGCAGGGAAGGTAAGAGAATGTCCCCACACATGGTCTGCAGGTGATTTTTGTTGAGTATCTGTCAAGGTAATGCTGAAAAAGGAGGATCATTGCTATGGCCAGTGTTGTTTAGAGAAAGTCAAGCTATTTAGTGCCTCAGAATCAGAGGGAAAAGGGGACTAGGAAATATCTATGAATAAAACAAAAGCTTAAGAAGACCCGAAGGAGGCATCCGTCAACCATTGTATGTGAGTACTGCATTTCCTTCAACTCTGAGCGCAACTGTGCCAATCTCTCCCCAGAATGCCTCCCAACAAGGCTCAAATTTTAGCTTTGTAGCTCTCCTTGATTAGAAGATTTCATCCACAGAGAAATCTGTTTTCAGCTCAGCAAAGACGCAGTTCAGATAAATAACTTCAGGAGCATGGGAGGTGACAGGTCAGATGCCACTGAAACAGGACAATGCCCTGTAAACAGGCTTGATTCCTGTGGGAATGCCCTGTGAGCCTAAACTCACTGGACAAGTCTTCCTGGAGAAGCCTTCCTGCTGTGAAGCAATACCACTGAATTTTTGGAAACTGCAGAGTCACTAACATTGGTGAAGATTTCCAATTTCTTTGGGCTCACTGAAGTAAATGGTTTTCCTTGTGGTCTTAATCAGTCAATACCTGCACATCTTTGAGTAATACCCTTGTATAACTTGAATTAAATCATAGAATTACAAAAATGATATTGAAAGGACAGCTGATTTGTTAGGACACAAACATTCCCATACATTCCAGGTTAGGCCGCTAGGAGATAATAAGAGTGCTGAAAACAGCATTCTGCTGAATAGTAAAAATTTGTTCCAATCTTTCTCTAAAAAGCCAAAAGCCACATCTAACTAAAGGTGGCCTATGCTCTACTAATCTGAGCCCTGAAAAAAAAAATCCAGACTGGATCAAGATGGTCATATCATCTTGTCTTGTTTTAAGGCTTCTTTAATCTTCTGCAGTGCCATTTGGCTTTCTCAGGTCTCTGACCAGGGACAGATGGGAGCTGGTGATGGTTTGGTGCTGGTGGAATAATGATTGTCTCCCACCCCACCACTCTGCTATAAAACCTTCAAAGCATTCACACCAAAGGACTGGAGAACAAAATGCAACAGTTACAAGTACCCTCATTCAAAGGGCAATTTCATCCACGTCTATGCCAAGGACTACCTCCCTTTACCCCCAAACAATCCCTTCCAACACAGAGAATGAAAGAAACAAACAAAAAAGAGTGAGGCAATGGAATGAAATGACACCCAGTAGTGCTGTAGGAATTATGGGAATGAATCCAGTCAGTCTAATCCTCAAACACTTCCAAGAACAAAGGGGGGAAGAGCTCCGTGGGGCACTCCACCTTCATGTGGAGGAAGCGGCTGGCATGGCAGGCTCCAATCATCCGCAGGTCCGTCACTTTCATCAGGAGTTTTGGCCAAAAGTGTGTCACGTGGTGTTTTCGGTAATTGATATAGTGTTCAAAGGCCAACAAGAAACTATCTTGGTATTTCTCTATTCTTTCAATACAGGCCAGCCCTGGGCGATCTGAGGGGGAAGAAGAAGATGGGTATGAATTCAGAGGTACAAAGGAGGAGGCCTGCCTGGTCCAGGACTTTGCAACTCCTAGGAATGGCTGAGACACAGGGAGTGGCAGTTCATTGCTCAGATAAACAATTCTAGTTTAGGCAGATCCCCTTTTGAGCCTCCTTCCTAGGGAAACAGCTGCCATACTCTGCACAAGGGACAAGATTTTGAGTTTACAGTGTCTGCCTGAGAGAGAGGAGGACAAACTCAAATATGTAGAAAGAAGGGGAGATATGAGAAGAGACTGGAGGCAGAAGGAGGAAGGCTAGGCTCTAAGACATTTCCTTGAAGACAAAGAAGCACAATATCTTAAGTTGTTTGCCAAGCTTTCAGTGAACCACCCTTTCTCTTCCTTATTCCATAGCCCCCTCTTATCCATGGAGACACATCCCAAGATCCCCATGCCTAAAACCATAGATAGTACCAAACCCTAATTACACAGTTGTTCCTCAGTATTCATGGGAGTGGGGGTTGGTTCCAGGACCCCTGCAGATAACAAAGTCTGAAGATACTCAAGTCCCTCATTATAAAATAACCTAAGCAATTGTCCCATATACTGTAAATAAATCAACTCTAGATTACTCACAATACCTAAGGCAATGAAAATGCTATGGAAATAGCTATTATACTGTATTGTTTAGGGAATGACAAAAGAAAACTGTCTGTGCAAGTTCAGTATGGATGCATTTTTTTCCTCCCAAATATTTCAATCTGCAGTTGGTTGAATCTGCAGACACAGAACCTGAGGCTATGGAGGGCTGGTTGTACTATGTGGTTTTTGTGTGTGTGTGATGCATACATACCTGTGATAAAGTTTAATTTATAAGTTAGGCACAGGAAGAGATTAACAACAATAATGAGCAGTTATCACAACATACTATAATAAAAGTTATGTAAATATAGTTTCTCTCTCCCCAAAATATTGCATCTTTTCACTTTAAGGAAGAACTTTTTGGCACGTGAAAATTGCCAGAGCCAATACTCTTGTGCTTTGGGCACTGTTACTTGAACACATGTACATTGATGCCACTTTTATGGATCTAATACCTGAGGTGCCTACTAAGTGATCAGTGTGCAGGTGCCAAATACAGCATGGTCACTGAACAATGGCACGATTCCCAACCCAAGAGAGAAAGCATGGGACGCTGTGAAATTTCATCATGCTACTCAGAATGGTACGTAATTTAAAACTTCTGAATTTTTATTTATGTAATTTTCCATTTATTATTTTTGGGCAATGTTTGACTGCAAGCAGCTAAAACTGTGAAAATGAAACCTCAGAGGACAAGGGAGTACTGTGCCTTTAGGTGAACTGCTATCTATAGCCATCTTGTGTCTGCAGTAGTAGAATCTACAGAGTTCTGCTTCATCTGAAAGGAAGAACCAGGGCTAAAGTCTTCAACACCCATCCAAGTCTAAATAAACCATATGGGCTTTAGGGATTCCTCATTTGGTTCAAATGACAACTTGGGCTTTGTAATTTTGCTGTCCTTCATATGTGACAATGCTGCTCTATGGATCTCCTCACTACCTCTCTCCCTATCTCTTCCTCTCCCCTAGCACTGAGTACAAGAATTCTCCCCAGGATCCTTCAGGTTTTGACCCAAATAGAAAATCAATGTAATAATGCTTTGGCTATATTTCTTTAAAAGGAAAAAAATGACTTGGGTTTTGTGACATTAAAACTGTCTTTGGATGAGTGATAAAGATAAAATGGTCACATAAATGATATAGAGAGAATAGACTGACATTTTGATTATGAGCAAATCATATTAAACAGGTTTATGAAGACAGGAACATTTTAAAGACAAAGATTGTTTTTAACTTCTTAAAACAAAAGATCTGGGCATACACCTGTAATCTCCAGCTATTTGAGAGGCAGAGATTGGAAGGATCACTGTTTGAGGCCAGCAGGGTTGAGGGTGTGTACGGGGGAAGTTAGTGCGATTCTATGTCACCAAACAAGCTGGGGATGATGGCAAATGTCTAATCCCAGTCATGCAGGCATTTGCCTAGCAAGTGTGATGCCCTGAGTTCAGAACCCTGGAACAGCCAAAGGGGGGAAAAAGACCTCAAAGAAGTATCTTTGGATTTTTTCCATTTTTGCTTTCTGCAGGACCAAGGAATCTAGAAGTTGTTGCTCTTGCAAGAGGCTTTGTGGACTAGACCTGAGACACGGTGTAACAGAAATGCCAAGCAGAATGTGGGCTTAGATGACAAGGCTGGGGAAGATTTGGAGCCTTGGCACTTCTACATATAATTTCCTTTGCTAAATATGCAATGTCTGATGATACCTTTCTGGTTCTGACAGTGTTAGAGAAAAGTGCCCATATCAGTAGGATAGAGAATATTTAAAAGTTATAAAATATGTCATACAACTGTCAGACAGTGACAGTCTCACAAAATCAGAGAATTGGGGAAAAAAATCGTTGGGGTGGGTTGCTTGGCAGTGTTTGGTGATGCTGTGGTTTGGATCTTAAATGTCCCTCCAAATCTCTATATATTGAAGGCTTGGTCCCCAGTGCAGCAGTGTTCAAGGTGGGGCCTTTGGGAGGTGAATGGATCTTAAGGATTCTGACTTCATCAATGGATCAGTCTATTTATGTCTTTGTAGCTTAGTAGTCTATTGGGTAGTGGTGGAAACTTGAGGAGATAAGGGCCTAGTTGGAGGAAGTCGGTCACTGGGGGCATGCCCTTGAAGGGTGGATTTTCTACCAGGACACCACTTCTCTCTCTCTGCTTCTAGACCACCATGTTCTACCTCACCATAGGCCTGAAAACAAGGAAGCCAGCTGACCATGGACTGAAACTTTTTTTGTGTGTAGTGATAGGAATTGAACCCAGGACTCATGCATGCTAAGTTAACACTCTACCACTGAGTGACACCTCAAGTCCCTCTTCTCTCCTTTTTTTAAAGCAAAAAAAAACAATGTCTTGCTAAGCTGCCTAGGCTAGCCTTGAACTGCAATTCTTCTGCCTCAGCCTCCTGAGGAACTGGGAGAATAGGCATGTACCACCACACTTAGCTTTTTCCTCCTTTAAGTTGATTTTCTCAGACGCATTTGCATCTCTACTTGCTCCTTTTATCTACCTTACTTACTCTGCTCGTTTGTTTCATCTGTTGAACTGACTTACTACAGAGGAAACACTATATTATTCATAATAAAAGTCCCTTTGCCATAAACAGAAGATAATCATGAAAATGGGCACATGACACAAACTTTACTAAATATAAAGCTTTACTAAAGCTAAGGGGTCCTGCTGAAGATTTTTGTCTGCAGTCACTCTCTCATTGTCAAAAGGGGAGGGGAACAAGTGTTAGAGAGGTGTTAAAGTCAGACTCTCCTTGCCTTTTGTAGGAGAAACAACCAGAAAGAAATTGTAAAAGAAATAGCTTTGTCACTGTGTGAGTCAATGTTACTTAAAACTCTTCGTGCCACTAAAATCTCAGCTAAAAATTACCTAAGTCCTCTATGAATATAATTCTCACATACGTAGTTAAATTTCTTTCAAATGTCACAGAAGTCTGAGAAGCTATGTCACACAGAGAGCCCTTAGATTGGCTTCCAGTCTTATTTCTCTGACGCACTGTACTCTCCTGAAGGACTGAGGGCTCAGGTGCTCACTGGCGTCAACCGGTGAGCCACCCTCAGGTCTAGAGGCCACCTGCTGTTCCCTGTCACATGAACTTTCCCCACAAGGGCACCTACCTCAGGAAGCCAGCAAGGAGAGCCTATAGAGCAAGTCTACTAGTAGGAATCTTATGTGACCTGTGTGATCACATTGGGTGACATCACCTTTGTTGTATTCTGTTGGTTAGAAGCAAGTCACAGGTTCTACCAACGTGGAGTTTATACAAGGGTGTAAACCAGAAGGTGGGAGTATGGGGTCCTCCATAGAGTCTGTCTACCACTGCCTCCAAGATGGTTCATTGTGATATTCCATTTATTTGTAGTTGAAATTTTCCATAAAATAATAACTTAAAATTATCACCTTTTAAAAAGTCTGTCATATCTAAATTTTCTGTAGGAAATAAATTTCTAGATCAGTTTAAAAACACCAGAGAGCATCAACTCTATAAAGGATTCCCAATGTACTTGTGACTGACATTATATTCATGCATTCTGCCATACCTAATAAACATTTACTGAATCCAACTAAACTCTGGCCTAGCTTAAGTGTATAATTAGACATGTCTGTGTCCTCAGAAGACAACCAGTCCAGGGGAGCTATGGACAAAGAAACAGGTAGTAATAATGACAAGTGCTAATGACCAGCAAAAGGGTGCTTTGACATGCTAGGGATGACTCTAAAAGCTTCCCTTATATAGTTGTGATGTGTTTTGTATTTCTTACTTATTATGACATGAAAAACAAAGGATAAACAAAGTGTCAGCATCACTGCCTTGCCCATTGGGTTTTGGTAGTGAGCTGTGGTGGGGTGGAGGCAGTGCACATTCTTTCAATTCCTCCCATCTAGAGGTGGACTGTTGAGTCAGGGCTGGAGTTTGACTGGTTGGCCCAATCAAATGTGGCTGAAGTGAGGCTATTTGACTAAAGACTGGGATCTGAAACTTCTTATAACAGCATTGTAAGAAGTCTGACTACCTGGCAAGGGGAAAGTCTGCATACAGAGATGTCTGAAGCCGTTTTTCATGTCTCAGCCTCAACCTCAGTCATCTTGGATGTTTTAAGGTACTAAGTTTGGGATTGGCTGCTGTACAGTAGTAAATAACTGAAACTTAAATTGTATCTGAGCCATGAGCAAATTCTACCTCTGGCGGTTGGTTTCCACACATAGAACTTAACACAGAGTGGTACAGTCACTCATGACTGTATCTTGTATACACAAAACCAGAAGGAGGCAGAGTTGGCTGGGTAGTGCCTATTGAATGGATTATTTCATAAAGTTTCCAGTACCTCTGTTTTTTCCCTATAACCCATCAGACACCTGACATCCTTGTTTAGTTTCCAGTCCTTTGGCAAAACCCTCATTTCTCACTGGGGGAGAGGACTCTGAAGCTAAGGAGATTGAAAACTTGTCACATGATTTGAATGAGCACCAGACAAGTCAAAGCTCTTTTCATGTCCACAGCAAGTCTAGGACACTCACCTGACGACATCAGCAGGACAGCCTGAAGGAGGGCTACTTCCGTGTCATCCAGGTTGAAAGATGACAGAGACATACCCAGGTCAAAGATGGCATCTGACACCACCCCAAGACCTCCGTTTTTCAGCTGGCCCCGTGTCACTGCCATTTCCCCATTCAAGGTTAAAGTCTCACTCTCCGGGTCATAGCGCACAGCAGCCCGAAGGGACATAATCTCCATGCAGCAGCCCTTGAGGAGGATGATCTGGTCTTCACATGGCAGCTAAAAAGAAGCAGCCCACATCAGCACCGAGCAGGGGACAAGAGTCAGCCAGGAACAACACGAAGAGTCTTAAAAGCCACAGGAACCACCCCGCAACCAACATTTATCCTGTTTTCTTTGATCCCGAGATTCTCCCTTCCCTAAGTAGCAGTAGACCTTTAATCATCATTTTTTAACTCTAAGTTTGTTGTACTTTGTGCCAACTTCAAACTCAGTAGTTTGTATTTCCTTCCTTCCTTCCTTTCTCCTCTTCCTCCTTCTTTTTTTGTGGAACTGGGTTTGAACTGAGGAGCTTGTGCTTGCTAGATAGGTGTTCTATCAAGCCATGCCTCCAACATTTTATTTATTTATTTTGTTTTAGTTATTCTTTAGATAGGGTCTTGTATTTTGCCCAGGACTGGCCTCAGACCTCAATCCTATCACCTGTGCCTCCTGTGTAGCTTGGAGGACAAGCATGTATCATTGTGCCTGAATTGTTTGTTGAGCTCGGGGGTCTTGCTATTTTTTGCCCTGAATGGCCTTGAACCATGATTCTCCTGATCTCCACCTCCTGAGTAGCTGGGATTACAGGCATGTACCACATGCCCAGATGTTTGCATTTCTTTTATGGTAGTACACATCTCTAACTGATATTATAGTGATGCATGAAACTGTGTTAATAATCCCTTTGCATGGGATTTTTATTATGACTACACCTGGTAACTGCATAAGAGCAGAATTTAGTTTATGTCTTGTAGTACCACTAGTTAACAGCTGACTCTACTGGTTAGATGGTAGCACTGCTCCTTTGTTGTTTGAACAAAGTTTGCTCCTTAAATCTCTTAAAAGGTACAGACCTTGAAGGTGTCGGACAGATGCATGTCATAAACAAGGGCCAGAGAGATAAGAACTTTGCCCAAGGTCACTCAGTGAGTCAAGGGCTGAAGTGAGACCTGAATTCAGACTTTCTGGATCCTTCCTAGTTATGTTCTTTTCAGTACTTAGACACTACAATTACCCAAGATGCTAAGATCCTTTTGCCAGTGTTATAATCTCATTTTCAGCTCCCTTGGTCACTCTATTAATTAAGATTTGTGATAATGGGATAACATTCATAATAAACGTTAAAACAGAATGTTGCTAAACAAAATAATAAAAGTAGAAATTTATTTTCTGGAGGGGGGAAGTTTAAATGCCATTATCAAGGTCATTTACGAGGCTCTTAGTTAATAAGTGTTTTTGATGAATTGGGCTTCATGCCAAGATTTACATCTTTACAGCGTACAGGGACGTAACACGCACTGAGAAGATGACGTGCTGGGTCACATGGATGTCAAAACATCATCACTGTCAGAATCCACTGCCAAGAGAAGAGAACACACACTTTGGAAAATCATGGATGTGACTAAGTTTTCATAAACAATGAATATATGAATTATACACAATATCTTCCTCTTCAATAAAGCTGCTGCAACTGCTTTTGGGGAAACACTCTTGGCAACACTTTATTCATCCAATTCAGGTTATTATATAATGGTGAAAGTAATACTGCTGAGTTACACTGAAAACACAGGGTAGCTCCTATTTTTCACTAGCTTGGCATAGTCACCTTACCATTTATTTTGCTTATATTTTTCTACAGAATGACTTTTCATTTAATATCTGGTTCTGAGATCCCATACATGTGAATTCCTTCCTTCTACCCTTTTAAAAAAGAATCACAGTGATTTGCTTTCATTGAGGTTATTACTTGTACTCCCCAATTACAGCCTCGGATTCCTGGACCAAGAGTGTGGCAGGAAGTAGGAAGTCTGGTGCTTGGATAGAGCCTCTGCAGGTGAGAGGGGGAGTGGGCTGAAGTGAGCAGAGGCTGACTGAATGCCCAGGGCAACTGTGTCCCATTTCAGCCCTTTTGCGATCACTCGAGGGCTCCAGGAGTGCAAATTGTTGGCTCAACCTCTGAGTGTTTGCATTTGTCCAAGGTAAATGCTTCTGAGGCAGGACCTCACCTAGGACCTCACATTTGCCAGGCAGGTACTCTGTCCACAGCACTTTTAGCCTTGGGGAGCTACCCTTGAACCTCCAGCCTCCTACCTATGTCTCCCAGTAGCTGGGATGACAGGTATAGCCACTGCACTTGGGCCTGGACCCCAATCTTGAGAACCCCTGGAATAGAAGAGCAATGAGATTTTTCTAATCAAGTCAAACCACTTACTTAAAAAAATATCTGTCAAAAAATAGACAAATTTGGGCAAGCTTCACCTTTGAGATCAGGTCTCATTGAAGTAGAAGTTTTCTTTTTAAAACCTATTAACTGTTGAGTTAAGTAAAAGCTGAATTTGTAAAGGATCACCAGTGCTTTAAAAACTGGGCCAGATGCCTTTTCTTAAGGAGGGGTTTACAGGATCCTGGTGAGATTTGTTTCAACACATGGTGAGTATGAAGCACCTGCTACATGCTTTCATTGTGAGACTGCTGCAACAAGGGCCCGACAGGCGGAGGCTCAGGGGCCTCCCACAGGCTTCCTGTCTTCTTACCACCGCATCACTCAGGTTGATTAGCACAGATGCCGGGCACTCAGCAAATGGTTCTTATGTGTTGTTTTGGCAGCTCTGCTGGCAATGATTTTTAGATCTTGCAAGCCTGGGGTGTCACACCAGCCTGGTTTGGTGAATTGGCAGGATCTTTGCAGAATAATTACCATGCACACAGTTTGAACAGCAGATGCATTAAACTGCTTCTGACGAAAGTCCCCTTCCTTCAAGACCACCTGGACCTCCATCCCACTCCTTGGGTAGCTCAGGGCCTGCACAGTTCATTACGCTTTTTAGGGTTTCACAGAGAGTGTAAAAGGCCAGCTGGTGCCCAGGGGGCCTTGAACACTGGAGACTTATGTGGATTTGTTGTAAAAGTGCCTACCACTTTTTTTTTTTTGTAAATTGGAGACTATAAAATACCATGAAGTACCATGGATATGACTAAGTTTCCATAAACAATGATTAGTTGAAAGAGAAATGAAATGATGACAATGAAGCAACCTTAAATCTCTAAGTAAACTTGGAGAGATAAGCTCCCCATAACTCATGCTTGGAAAGTTCCATGTTGACCCTCATTCATGTCATGGACACAGTGCACAGTGTGTCTGTTACTGTGGGGCAGATGGCTTCTTCCCCTCCTCCTTCTTTAATTAAAATATCTCTTCAGGGGTTGGTTACCAAACTTTACACTCATTTTAAAGAAAACATTTCTGGCTTGCATTTGAAGGGTGGTTGTCATGTGACTGGCAGGATGGCTTGAAGTAGTAAACTCAACAGAGTTCCTCTTTAGCCCCCAAGGATTGGATGCCAAGTGACACAGCCCAAGAGAGAGGACCCAGAAAGTCCCAGGTACACAAGATCAACAAATGTAAAAGAAAGATGGCACTAAGAGCTGGCAAGGGGAGACAAGTACCCTTAGCAGAGGTGCAAGAAGATACTTCCTCTCTCAAGCAACTTGGCAACATGTGTTGAAGACCTCAAAAGGAACCTAACTGTACCTTGGGCCTTCAATTCCACATCTAGGATTTACCCTTAGAAATCAGTGATGTGAGCATGGCAACTCGCCAGGATATTCCCTGCAGCATATTTTTATTAGTGAAAAATTGGAAAAGAATTACAGATGCAGTGAAAGCAAGTAACCTAAAGGAAACTATGTGACCACTGAAAATCATTTTGTGAAAGGATGCTTAAATGGCACGTCCATTGAGAGTAAAGTCTGATCCACTGGGCTGTAGGCAACCTCCCATTCCTCAATCTTGGTGCTGATTACTGGGGATGAATTTATGAATTGCACCCATATAAGAGGTGCACCTTACTTGCTAATAAAATGTTAAACAGTTGGTTAATTGATTGAAAGTATAGCTCATTATGGTATAGCTCATTAACATATTTCATATTTCATATATATGTATATGTGTGTCACACATATACTTGAAAAAAGACCAAAAATAGGCTGGCAGTGTTATCATGTGGCAGTTTTATCATGAATTCCTACCTTTACAGTGTTGTATGGATATGTACTACTTTTGTAATTTCCTCCAAAATGTTCATAAATATTAATTTTTAAAAAGATATCAAAGGCATAGGAAGTTCCTCACCAAATACAGATATGTCCAGATTCCTTCCCTAGAACTCATTTCAGGGGTGAGGTATGAGTTGTTCCTACTGCAGCCCTGGGGGTACACAGCAGGGGCCTGGTTCTGGGGACAAAATATGCAGGTTCCTCTAAAATTTCTAGATAGTTATAGTCAAAGTCTTGATATTTTTTTTGTTGGTGCTGGGGTTTGGACTCAGGGCCTCATGCTTGCTGGGTAGGTGCTCTACCACTTGAGCCACTGGGCCAGACTTACATCCCTGCTGGTGATAGTCGTTGAGGTAGGACCTTTAGGAAGGGAGGTCACAAGGGCAGGGCTGTCACAGACAGGATTTGTGTCTTCATAATAAGACCCCAGAGAGCTCCCTTATCTTTTACACCAGGTGAGGAAGCAGCAAGGAAACACCAGTCAATGAACAAAGAAACAGGCCCTCCTTAGACACTGAAGCTTCTGGCATCTCGATCTTGGACTTTTGAGCTCTACAACTGTCAGAAATTTCTGTTGCTTTTAAGCTGCCCAGTCTATGGTATTTAGTTATAACAATCTTAATTGACTAAGACATTTGACCCCTGCCATATGGGGTCAGAGGGAGTCTGGGGGTCAGAGGAAGGCAAATTTGTTCTCTCTCTCAGCTAGGTCTGGAGGTCAGGTTTTGTGTGTGTCCTGAAGCTACTGCCTTGTCCTTCTAGTTATGGCTTCTGTAAAGGCTCCAAAATAGGCAATGAGAAGTGTCCCCATGGATATCTGAAGTCACTCTTATTCCAGCTGGGCTTCCCTTATTGCAAACTCAAATGCACAAGTGAGCTGGAAGCCAAGGCAGCATGGAGTCATTCCAGGCCAGGAGACTCAGCTTCTCTGTAGCTGAGACTAGAGCTGCTCGTTACTCTGAGAGATTACGGAAGAGGCTCACAGGAGCAGGTGGTCCTCCTGAAGGTGTGAAGAGCAATAGATTGGCACCCCACGGACTTTTTCAAAGGGAAATTTATCCAGAAAATAGAACCTCACTGGGTTCAAAAGTGGGCAGTTGGAGGCAGTGGGAAGTGCCATGTGTGAAACAGTGGTAGCATCGGCAGCTGAAGTCTTCAGGCATAGTTCCAGTCCTTTAGGTACATTTTCCCCTTCAAACCTCCCAGCAGGTCTAAGGGGCAGACATGATTATGATTCCCATTTTCAAGATGAAATAACTGAGGTATGAAGACACTAAAAGTTTGTTTTGGATTCTTGCCCACACTGTTGACTATAAAGGCTGTGCTCCGACCACCACACCATCTTGCTGGGATGTGTTGTGGAAACGATACAGACTGAAGTTTAAACCACTGTACTACTTATGGTTTAAAACATGGTACTATGGATAACTTCACTATCTCTTTGATCTTAATTTTCTCATCTGGAAAATGGAGTTAATGAAAGCTAACCTGCAGATTTAGCAAAAGGATTGGTTTAACTGATTAAGATGCCACAATATATCCCCTCTGTACAACTATTACATACTAATAAAATAAAAGGATTGGATTTACGGTGGGCAAATTTGAGTGTGGTCACTAAGATTTTATTTCCTTTTGCCTGGAGTCAGGCCCATGGAAGGATCTCCATAGCCCTCACGAGGACAAGATAATGAGTGACAGCTGAGCAGAGAAGGCAGGGAACCACAAACTGATAGTGTTTTCAAATGTCTATTTCCTGCTAATTAATATTATATTATAAACAACACCCAGTATTCCTGGAAATTGATGGGACTATGATAAAAAAAATACAGGAGGAGAAACAATGTCCTTACCTCACAAAACATAGGCAACTTTTTGGCAAAATCCACCACTCTGGTGATCGCTGGTGTGATGATTTTTGTAAAATGGCTGAAGGCTTCCAAGTCGACCTTCCCACCTTCTGGGGTGTTAACTATTGGTGCTTGTCCAATATCTTCCGGCTGTGGGGAAGAAGCAAGAACGATTTAACGAAGGTGTTGAGGACAGGTTGGCTTCCCATAGTTCCTATGTGGCAGACATCTCTTCTGAGCTGACATCCACTTTAGTTTCTGCTTTCTATCTTGTTATTAACAAACAGAACATTTTTCACAGCATTTATTTCTTTGAGCAAAGGTATGTCTTGGCCATTGCTTTAACAGGTCCCAGTGACATTGTTCACAGGATTGTTGCCAGAGAAGGAGAGAGGAGAGGAGGTGAAGAAGAGGAGGGAACAGGGCATGGTGGCACACACCTATAATCCTAGCTGCACAGGAGGCCATAGATAGGAAGATCGATGTCCAAGGCCACAAAAATGCAAGAACCTATCTGAAAAATAACTAAAGCAAAAAAGAGCTGTGGGCGTGGCTTAAGTGGTAGAGCACATGCCTTGCACGCATGGGGCTTTGAGTTCAAACCCCAGTTCCCTGCTCCCCCCAAAAAAGATCAGAGCATGGCACATTCTGATGTGTCTGTAGAGGAGGTGGGCACCGTATGGGCACAGAAAGTTCCTTTCTGTCTGTCTTACAGACTCCTGTTTGAGGTGGTTTCAGCCGAGCATGAGGGGGACTACCCTATCCATCTCAGGTGGCCCTGACATAAACCCAGATATACAGATGAGCACAGCAGGGGTGAGGCACACCCCATAGAACCCAGGCCCTGACCCTGCAACCCCACCCCATGGCAAGGCTTTTACTCCGTGATGGCAGACTTTCTATTCCTCTTAACACTGTCCTTGCCAGCCTCTCCAGCTCTCATCCAGGAGGTTGTGAATGTCACCAAGGAGATCACAGAGACTAGTTGCCTGCTGGATGGTGGGCACCTTTGCCTATAGCCACAATGAATAGACAGGAACAAGGCCTTGTCTCTCTTAGCACCCATGACATGGAGTGGGGAGGGCAGCAGGAGAAAGGAGGAGGATCTGATGCTAGGAATGAGTGGAGCAGGATGGAACTCCTCACCCGCAGATTAACAACAAGGACATTGACAGTTGCCAGACCCTGGCCTGACACCATGGTACCAAACTCCACTGTGATCAGAATCACCAGATTTCAGGGCCCTTACCCAGTGTTTCTGATTCCTGTAAGGCAGGGGTGGAGCCAGGGAATCTTCATTTTTAACAAGTTTGTAGGACATGCTAGGGCCACACTCTGAGGACAGTAAACCAAGTCCAGCTCAGAGCAACCCAGTGACCATCTTTCTTCCCACAGCTCCCATTAGTGCTCACATCTCACTTCTAGCAGAAGGAAAGCAGATGCTGCCAGCACACATCCCGGACAGGAGTAGCTAGGCCCCATAAGGCAGTGGGAGGAGCCCAACTCAGGGCAGATGGTGAAGTGTGTCATGTTATGTGGCAAATGGTGGTGGTATTGAGCTCTTGTGCATTATCTAGGGGTCCTTCTGTATATTTTTATTGTTTGTTTTGGTGGCAATGACTGGGTGGAACCTGGGTTTTGTCCTGTTTTCATAGTAAATGGTGGTGTTTTGGGATAACTATTGGCACAGCAAGTCCATGGAAGGCTCTGATTTTGCAGCCTTTCTGGATGCGGATGGAATGAGTGAAATAACCTCACAGGTAGCTCCTTCTGTCTCTCCCCTTCTCTCACTGGTTGAGCTAAGGGAAAAGATACATCTTTTTTTCTTTGGCAGTGCTGGTCCCTGCATCCTTTAGGTGCCTTTGCTGGTCTTTTTGATTCTTTCTCAACCTGCATACGAGGCTTGTCTTACCTCCTCTGTCTATTTCACAAGTCTGTTGCAAAGATCAAGTGATAAAAGGAATGTGGGCACACATTCTAAAAGGTGGGAATTTTATATAAAAGTTCTTAATGTATAGCATATATTCTACATATACGCAGGAAATATATAAAAGTTATTAATATATAATATATATTCTACATATATGTAGGAACATTTTTTTTTTTGTCTGAAATGGTGTTGAACTCAGGGCTTTGTGCTTGCTAGGCAGGTGCTCTATTACCTGAGCCACTCTACCAGTCCCTTGTCACATTGGTTATTTTTTGAGTCAGGGTCTCACTTTATGCCCAGGTTGACCTGGACTGCGATCCTCCAGATCTCTAGGATTACAGATTTGAGCCACTGTGGCCAGCCTTATGTGGAAGAACATTTCTTAGGAATTAAAAATAAAAATATTCCATTAACATGATTTTGGCCTAGCTGATCCAAGTATCTCCTCATTAACTACTGTTAGATCTAATCTGATTGTATTTAAATGGTAAATTCAGTGTCCTTTGAAATGCTCATGATTTAATACTGATCTGTAATCATTTCCATTCAATCTGTGGGTATGTTAGGTATTTGAACCTCCACCTGTGACCCCTCCAAAGATTTGAAAAAGGAGTGAAATTATGCAAGGAAATATGGAAGCTTTAACTAAATGTAACCTCTCAAATGTAACTTCACAAGCTTTTCTGTTGAAAAACAGGGTAGAAAAAAAACTTACCTTTAAGTCTCTGCATATTAAATGGCAAATACAATTGCTAAAGTAAAACTATTATAAATTAAAAGCATTTTTTATATCATTAAAGTTTGTCTCCACAGTGGATCTCAGATACTAGAATAAAAATGGAAAGACAAATCTATGACTTAATATGAGTTAACGTCAGGTATGGGAAATCAAGTGAGTATGCATCGTTTTTTGTGACTTCACTGCAGATTGTTCATCTGTGAGGACAATATGTAATTTGACTCTTCTTGAATCTGTTAGATATCTCACACAGCCTTGCACATCACATGTAATATATTTTTTCATATTTACAATATGGATTTATGCACCTGAAACTTCTCTGGTACTGATGATAAGTCTCTGGCCCATAGTCACAGGGAGACCTGTGGGGAAGGCCTGCTTTGTCCTCATATATCCAGCTGCCTTACCTTTCTCATGGGGAGACTTCCAACTCTTACCCTGACTTCTGTCCTCTTTGCCATATATGGACCTCCTGGGCCAGCCCAGCCAATCTTGCTGTGTCTCCATACAACTTGACTTACACTTTCCCATTTCACTGCTGCTTTTTCTCTGCACTTTTTCTTTCTCTGAAGCCCCCACTTCTCTCATCTTTGTTCACTCCAGTTCTCACCCATTTTCCAAGACCCAACTTGAATCCTTTCTTTGAGACATCCTGCCAGATGACCTCAGTTTAAAATGATGTCTACTTCATCTGAAGTAGCCCACGTCTATCGTCCTGTGGCATTAAGCATTTATTAATATCAGTTTTCATAATTAGATAGGTACATGTCAAGATATGAACTTCTCAATGGGCAGGGAATCACTTATGTGTCTTTCCCTATGGTGTACAGGTATTGAACCAAATGGCAGAGGATAGAATGCTTAATTAACTGAATGAACCAATGAATACATCTATATATATTTTATGGTACTGGGGCTTGAACTCATCAGGGCCTTCACCTTGAGCCGCTCCACCAGCCCTATTTTTTGTGAAAGGTTTTTCAAGGTAGGGTCTCACGAACTATTTGCCTGGGCTGGATTTGTACTGCAATCCTCCTGATCTCTGCCTCCTGAGTAGCTGATATTACAGGCGTAAGCCACCAGTGCCCAGCTGAACCAATGTATTTATGGAGAAGGTATTATGGGACCAGGTCTAGTTCTAGATGCTGAGATTACATCAATGAACTACGTATCAAGGAACTTGCATAATAGTGAGGGAAGGGAGGCAATAAATAAGAAACATGCATTCACTGAAGTGTTAGTTTGTGCTAAAATTGGAGGTGACAGGTCAGGAGATGGGTGGGGTCAAGGCCCCTTTGAGAAGCGCTGTATGGGCTTTGACCTGAAGAACATCAAAGAGACAGCCTTCCATGGAGCTGGAGGAAGAGCAGTATAAAGTCTTGAGGCCAGGAAAGAGGACAATGTGTCTAAAACTCAGCAGTGGCATGGGATTAGTGGGGGAAGGCAGGCAGGGTCACATCGTACTAGGTACTGTGGACTATGGTGGGGGAGGCAGATTTACTCTAAGTGCACTGAAGGCTTGTAAACAGAGAAAGACTTGGTGAGATTTATGGTCATTACATAAGGAAAGGATATGCCAAAGGAAGAAACTGTCTGGAAACAATAGTATCTTGGGGAAAACTTGAGAGAAAACTAGAAAATAGCATGATTAAAATGCTTTGGAAGTACTTTTACCCAGTAGCTTGGGTTGAGTTGAGTAAGATTATGGGCTGGCAGTTAAGATGGATGGAAGTACATGAAGTAGGGGCTGAAGACAGAGGCTGAAGATGCACTGGATATGGGCTAAGGAATCCAGAGTAGCTCCTATTGGAAGTGGAAATGGAAAAGTATAAATAAGAAGTTCAGATGTGTGTGCAGGTGTGGCATCAGCCCTCTGTCAGCACTGGGAGGTTGGTGTTACACAAATCTTGACAAGCTGGCTTTCTGCTTTAATGGTTTCCTCAGAATTGTTTGAGGTAAGTAGAAAATGCTGCCAGTTGGCCTTTTTTCAAGTGGTTGGCTAAGAGCCAATGACTTCTTGGCTTAACCTGACAGCTCTTTGGCACAGGTAGAGAAAGCAAAGGCCAGATGGACTCTACCCTTCCTCTGCTGGCTCATCAGATGTCGTCTTACAGCTAGTCAGGGGGACCCAGACAGATGGTGATTCAAGGTCCGGGTGTAAAGGAGTATAAAAGGAGCCTTGGGACATGACTATAGGTACATGCTTTCCTGGGATGAGTAAGATCAGATGCTGAAGGTGGATGTGGTAGGGAGATGTGTACAACAACCTCTTATTGCCAGGCACTGTTGCAGCCTTTATTACTTTTATACCATTTGGTAAGCATACAAGATAACTAAGCCGTAGAGAGATGAGATGACATGCTCGAGATGTTAGAAAGCAACAGAGGCAAGTGCTGACTCAGACTGTCTGGTTCCTATGTCCACTTCTGTGACTGCTAGGCTCCCCTGCCTTTTCTGAAGTGATAATATATGAAGTGACAATAACTTGATTGCACTTGTCCTGGGCTCTGTTCACATGGACCACGCATGGCTGAATCACCCACCCTTCCCAACCCTTCTGTCATACTGCTCTCTGAGGCTCCCTCACTGGAATGTGGAAATGAGGCAGCAGCGACACCTGGGAGGAGTAGGGGAGGGCTGCCCTAATTCTGAAGGTCACATTTCATTCTTGGTTAGGAAGTCCACTCAAAGCCACACCTTTGCATATGAACTGGGAAGGAGAATAATGATACAATGTCAACAGACAGTAATAAGGATGTCCATGACAATACTGTTGCAAGCAGATGACTTATGCCAAACCAAATGTCTTGTTGCCCCTGGGAGGTGTAGCAGTGAGGTAGCCCTCGTGGACAGACCTGCTTGCCTTGTCTGGCACCATTCTCAGCCTGACCACACATACAAATTGTTGGTGGTAAAACTGGGCATTTCTGTAGCCTCAGAGATTGGAATGGACTGGAGGAAATTAGAAAATGACATGATTTGAATGCTTTGGAAGTAATTTTACAGCAGGGCCTTAGATTCATTATGAAACTGCATGGTTTTTGCAGAAAATCCTCATTTGCCAAAGACTCTCATTTTCTTAGATCCAAATATAGATTTGAAACCCTAGTCAAACCACCAGTCTCTTTTCCTGACTTGAATCCTGGTCCTAGGGGAAAGAAATGGTGAAGTAGCTTCTTGTGGGAATAAACTAGTTACCCATTCCAGATAAATAAATACCTCTACCTTTTATGACAACATATAAATTTTAATCCCTTGTGACAGATTACTCTACTGTTATTAAGGTAATAAGCCTTTTAAAATTCTTTTTGAGAACAAGATGGGACACCAACACATAAAAATCAGTGAAATAACGTGCAGCAGTGTTGCAAGCGTAAAAGGAGGATCGACCACATAAGAGACACAAATTCTAATGTGCAGAGCCCTGTTCAGTCCAGTGATACCTTCTGACACATGGATACCATTTAGCAAAGCTGTCTTTAGGCAAGGATTCTGAATTTTCTTTCAAGAATAATTCACTACTCAGGAGAGTACAGTTTTGATCCTGAGCCATGAATGTTTAACCTGCATTACCTCTCTGTGTAGAGTATCTGTAAATATGCAAACTGGCTGAGGCCTGGGGCTTAACTGTACTTTCTCCAAAGATTGGTCTGTGACAGTGTATGTTCAACTTGAATATTTATTGAGTTCTGATCCAGATATCTATTGCTATCTATTATCTCCCAGTGTTCTAGGGGATCATGGCACAGCTCTTCCTGGTGTCCCTACAGCTACCATCAAATGGCTGTACCATAGGAAAACTTCTTTACTCACTTTTCTGGTGTCTGGGTTGTTTGGGAATCTCTCCTTCCACGTGACCTCTTCGCATGGCTAGTCTGGGCTTCCTCCCAGCATGGTGGTCTTGGAGCACTTGGACTTTTGTTATATAGCAGTTGACTCCCTCTCCAAGAGACCCAAGTGGGAGCAAAGCTTCTTATGATCCAGCCTTAGAATCCACTCAAGCATCTCTTCTGCCAAAGTCCATTGTTTAAAGGAATCACAGATCAGCCCAGATTCAAGGAGATAGAGAATAGAATTCTCTCCATGGGAGAAAAGGGCTATGCACAGAGGAGAGACTGTGATGGCAGCCATCTTGGAGGAAAGCTACAAGAGTGTGAAGCACACATGGGATGGCCATTGAAGGGCTATTGCTGAATGGAACATGGACTCCCCAAGGAGATGCAGGGACAGAGGCAACTGGATGCTGGAAATTAAGTGCATTGTGGAGACAGATGGGGTAGTGGAAGAGCTTTGATCCCCTCTGGGAATCACTGACTTGGAGGAGCAGTTATTTACTTTTGGATCAAGAAGTACAATTTCTTGAACATCTCAAGGATCTACAAAAGATACACTTAACGTCAGTTTCACGGGGAAGGGAGATGGTGGGCACAAGAGTTGTTCATGAATGTCAGCTTCCTGAAGAAAACTCTCGTGCGTGGATAATCTCATGGCCCTGACAAAAACCAGTGGCAAATCACTCTGCGCTGTATCTTCGTGTTTTTTCTATAGACGGTCAGACTAATGGGAACTGACAGGAGCCTTTAAGTTAAAAGTACAGGCCTCAAGGCAGGTTCTCACTACTCTATGCTGTGTTATCTTTGCTGAAGAGACCAGAGGCATGGGAAGATTTGATTACATTTTGTTTTATAAGCTTGGCTTCTCAGCTTTCAGAAGCAGCTCTTAGCGCTTGAGCCACTCCACCAGCCCTTTTTTGTGATGGATTTTTTTCGAACCATGAACTATTTGCAACTGGCTACAAACCTCAGTTTTCCTCATCTCTGCCTCTTCAGTAGCTAGGATCAGGGTGTTAAGTGTTAAGTGTTTCTTAATAGAAAAAAAGAAAATACATCTTTAGAGTCTGGAAAAAAGCATCTTGGTGACTACTGAAACTAATTTAGTTTCAGTTCTTGTATCTTTTGGAGGTGTTTTGGGTTTTGGGTATACAGATGATGAGGCTGTGCAGGATGGTAGACAGGAGCCCAGACTTGGAGCTGGGTGTACCCATCATCACTATGTACTAACTGTGGGAGCTCAGACAAGCTTCCTTCACTTCTCTACCTCAGTTCTCTCTCCTGTAAAATGCAGATATTATCCATGTCTACTCATAGGGTTGGTATATAGAGAGCACATAGACTAGCACCTAGCATATGGTAAGGGTTATGTAAGTGTTTGCTGACATTGCTGACCAACCCATTAACAAGGACTGGTGGTGTTATTTCATTATGGCAATGACAGTAATTGTTTCAGGGCAGGTAGATTATATGCAAGATTTTTCTCTCTTAAAATTTCTTTTAAGGTTTGTTATTACATTGTTTTAACAGAAAACCCTATTACATTTTAATGTCACTGTTGAAGCACAATGATAATTATAGCATCCCATCTCCTTGTTCAGGCAGGGAGGAGCAATGAAATGCTTGGAAATGCAGACAGACCCACAGGAAATCTGCTGCCAGGACTCAGCCAGGTTCTACTCACAAAATACTTCACATGGTACCCTAAAAGCAGGATCTCTCTGAGACAGTTGGGGCAGATAGTCCTGCTAATGAGGTAGTAGAGAGCCTGCACTGGGAACCAGAAAACCTGAGTTGGCTTTGGAGCCTTGCTTGGCCACTTTTCTTAGCACTGTGATCTGTGGTAGCCACTTACAGCCTTGGTTTGTATGTCTGTAAAATTGAGAGAGAAATTCCAGCTTCCTTCAAAGCACTATGGAGTCCAGATGAGGAAGGAATGGGAAAAACTTCCACAGCCTCGAGTTTGATAAAAAATAATCAAACATCAGTACCCTCCTGGTCTGGAAGGATCTGTTTTCTCCACATACCTCCCCCATCTCCATTGTCTTCCTGGACTCAGGCTCATTATTCCAAGCTAAACATTACAACTTCTGTTCACATGAAAGTTCATCTGAGGTAGGCATACTTCACCCTAGAGGTGATTTTAAAGAGGAGATGGCTTGTGGGAGCAAGCTCAGAGGTCTAAGTGTGCATTCATGGGGCATGCAGGAGAAAGCTGGCAGGCAATGAATTTACTAAGTAGTTGGTCCAGGAATGGTCTTACTAACACCAAAATCAAACTGAGCAAACAAGGCCTAGGAAACTGCTTTGGAAGTCAGCAAATCACAGAGCAGATGGTAAGAGTAGCCATGGTGTCTCCCACACACCTGGCTCCAGTCCCAGCTCTGCAAGTTTGTCCATCTCTCAGAGCTGGAGTTTGCTAACTGATCAAACCAGGCAGCAATAGCAGCAGCCCATGGCTTGAGAATACTCTGAGTTGAGGCAGAAAACACTGAGTGTGTAACCAATGGTGTACAGTGCAGGGGAAGCCTTACCAGGAATTTCCGTTTCTGCTTCCAGTGGCTGCCCTGAGCATTAGTGGCCACATGGGCTTCGGTGACAGTCTTGATGAGTTCCCACTCTTCATCCGTGGGCTCTGGCTTGTGTCCGATGGACTTCTGCAGCTCTTCCCGCCGCCTCTTCTCCCGGTTCTCCTCGATCAGTTTCCTCTTGGCTAGCCTCTTGCTATCATCCAGCACCACTGGGGAGGAGAAGGGTGAAATGGACACATGAACACTCCCAAGACACCTATCAGATTGTGCATCCTGGAGCCTGGGATACATCAAGGCAGGATGGCTCAGAGGGTCACACAGGGCATTTCTCCCTATAGTAGAAAACTACCTCTGACTAGGCACCACCCACCAGGGGTCCTAGTGCCAAGCTCTCAATGCCAGTGTCATCTTTCTAAACAAAGCTCTGAGGGAACATGGACCCTGGGCACCCCAACTCCACAGAAGGTGGCCCTAAAAAAAGTGAAGCAGAAGGAGGTAAAGTCTATACTCCCAGGTAGATTTGTGCAGCTGACTGTCTAAATTCACGCTTAGGGTCCCTGTTCTCCTTTCCTCCCTTAAGATGGCTCTTGGTGAGATTTCAGGTTTAACAAGCTTTGGAGTGGTGTTAGGAGTTCCTGATTCCATCCTCAGTGGAAAAAGGACCCCACCTTTTCAAGACTCTCATAGGGCTGACAGGGATGTATCTGGGCCCATCTTGGGCCTCACAGGTACTTGCTTTGCATTACTCTTTACTAGTCAGGGTCCAGGCTTCGAAATCTAGAAAGACTTGGATTTGAATATTGACGCTACCACCTTCTAGCTGTGTGATTTCCAGCAAGTTACTTGGGCTCTCTGAGCTTTCATTTCTTCCTATGTGAAATAGGATCACTAATACCTGCTTCCCAAGGTATTCAACATGATAATGCATTATGAGAGCTCAGTAAGTTTAGGCACAACTTGTTTCACTTGTGCAAAAGAGAAATAAGAATAGTAGATAATAAGAAATCTATATTTCTGTGGTTAATTTCCAAAAGAAACCATCTTACTAGACTCTTAGTAACTATCAACGGAATGGAAAGGCTCAATTTTTATGTTAGAGTCACAGTATTTTAGAACTAGAAGGGACCCTAGACAGTACCCATCCAACTCCTTTCTTTCACAGAGGAAGAAATGATCCAGAGAGGTCATGACTCGCCTAAACTCACAAGCAAGACCCAGAACTCCTGATTCCATTCTATAATGTCATTGTCCTAGGGCCATTTCTTGATAACCTGGTAAGAAAAGGACAAAGGCAGACATAGCCAGAAGAGGAGAACCAAGGAACCCACTGATATACAAACCACAGAAGGTACAGACTGGATTGGATCACCAAAGTTATGAAAGTATGGGAAATACGAATGAGTCCTGTGAAGGCCCTGGGGCTCACTTACTAGAAGGTAATGATACAGCCTCATTTCCCAAATCCTTCCAGTGGGCCACAGACTGTTGCACCTGACCTGCACTATCTAACTTAGTCCTGGACACAGCCCTATGAGGCAGGTGGTGATTTCCCAGAAATGAAGCCAAAAACTTGGAGGTCACTCAGCTAGTAAGTGGAAGATCTAGGACTCAAAGAGAAGTTTTTTCTGATTATAAACTCTGAACTCTCAAAATGTCTTGTAAGCAAATAAGGGACATTCAGAGTTTATTTCCATACAGTGTAGAATAGCACTGACTTTTTAAAAATCTCCTAAATGCTTATATCTTAAACTTTTCCATATGCAGTAAGAATGGTTCGTTATTCGTGACTTATCTAAGCATTTGGTTCTGAGTCAATCATATTCACATATCCTTATCATGAATATTGTCAGGAAGGGTTACAGTCTTTAAATGGTAAAGAACACACTCAGCCAGAGTGGGGATGAACTCAGGACTTCCAGCATGACATGCTAAAGCAAGCCTCTTCAATGACTCTGTCCTGTCTTTCTTACTGGGCAAAGCCAGACCTTCCACCAATGTTTTTGTTTGCTCCAACAGAATCCTACTTATCACATAAATGGAAGCCATGATGATTTCCTTTTAGATCAGGAAGAATCTTCATTGCATTTCCTTTCTTTCTTTTATTTTTAGCTAACATTTGGAATCTCTCACTGGTGTACAAAAAATTATGGCAGTAGAAATGATTAATACTGATACCTAGCAAAAGGGAGGCCAGGCATTCTGAATGGCCTGATTCTTCTTTTTATAATTAATTAAATAACTATGTAAGTCCCTTGCACAGGATGGGAAGGATAGACCCCCCAAGGGCTAATCTCAACACCATATGTTTTTTGTCTAAAAATAACAACCAACCAACTGAAGGATGACTCATGCAGTAACATTCAACTTTGAGTTCTTCAGACATTCCTGGCCCATGTTTTCTGCTGATAACCTGCCTCAAAAATGTCCATAAAATAAAATTCCTGTCTCTGCTTTTGAGAAAATATGAGGTCTATACCATGAGGCTCTTACCACATATAGCCTGTGTGTGAAAAGATAACTTATCAAGGTACATGGACAAGACTCCTAATTTGTAATGTGTTTCAAAGCAGTGTTGCTAACAGTCTGCCCTTCAAACACTACAGAGAGAACTTAACTGCTTTTCCTTCCCTAGCATCTGGATCCTTTGAGAGTTGGGAGTTGGTAAGATTGGAATGGGATGAAAACCTCAGGATTGGCTCCCACCTCCCTTTCAGGGCAAGCTTGGATGCAGGAGAGAGGGGCTGTGAGAAAGTACTTGGTTCTGCTTTCTTTCCTGCCTGGTTAATCTTGAACCAAACCCTTCCCCAATCAACACTCCTTGAATATGAAGCAAATGAAGATCTACTTACAATCTGTTGCCATGCCAACATAGATGCATTTCTTAAAGCGACATTCCTGGCACTGATTTCGCGTGACTTTGTCTATAACACATTTTCCTTCATATTTACAGGAATAAGATGGATGGAGATTTTTCTGAATGGTTCTTCTAAAGAAACCCTACATGAGAAAGAAAAGCCCAAGACAACAGTTTCATGTTTTCTAAAAATAAATGATTCTTCAATCTTGTGTTCACATATCTATGAGAGCAATTGTTTTGGACTCAAACCTGTATTGGCCCTCTAGTTTTATCTTCAGCTACAGAACAGTATGAATCTGGGGAGCTGAAGGGGATGTCACTGGACTGTGGAGTCTGCACCTTTCTGGCATTTATCCAAGGAATAAATCTAGTGCTTTCTTTTATTTTTCTGTTCACTGAATAAGATATTTATTTCATAAGGTATCATAATTGTGTTGCTCAATCAAAAGTACAGAGGTTTCATTTCACCATTTCAAGAAACCAAACAAATGCTGGTGAGCATGTGGGGGAAAAGGACCCCTCATATGCTGCTAGTTGAATGTAAATTAGTGCAGCTACTATGGAAGTCAGCATGGAGGCTCCTCAAAAAACTATAAATAGAACTTCCATATGATCCTGCTGTACCACTCCTGGGCATATATCTGGAGGAATGTATACCAGCTTACAATAGAGAAAGCTGCACACCCATGTTAATAGCAGTACTGTTCACAATAGCCAAACTATGGAATCAGCCTAGGTGCCCTTCAAATGATAAATGGATAAAGAAAATGTGGTATGTCATAAAGGAGGGGAGAGGAAGGGTGTGTTTAAGAAAGCCTATCATAGATGGGGTAGATTTGATCAAAATACACATATATGGAAGCTGTAAATTTCACTTTGAAATCCCTTCGTGCAATTAATTTATGCTAATAATTTTTTTTAAAAAAGAATGTGGTACATATACACAATGGAGTATTATTCAATAATAAGGAAGAATGAAATTGTGTTGTTTGCAGGAAAATAGATGGAACTGGAGATCATCATGTTAAGTGAAATAAGCCAGCCTAAGAAAAACAAATATCACATGATCTCTCTCATATGTGAAATCTAGACCTAAAGAACAAATTGAGTGCCACAAGTGTAAAATGGTGGAACTAGCTGGGAGGAACCAACAGGAAGATGAGAGAATGAGAGGAGACGTTGAAAGGGTATGTGTGGGGGAGGGAGATATGACTCAAGTACATCACACACATGCATGAAAACAGAATAGTGAAATCTGTTAAACTGTTTTAAAAAGGGGGAAGAGGCATTAGAAAGAGTAGAGGGGGTGAATTTGATCAAGGTACATTGTGTGCATGTGTGGAAATATCACAATGAAACCCCTTTGTACAACTAATATATGCCAATAAAAAGAGAAAAAATAATTATGTTGCTAAATTAAGCTATGAGGAACTTTATTACATTGTACTGGGAAATAAAAGAACTGAATACTTGATACTTTATTAATAATTTGATCATTTAGCAATTCAATAGATGCATTAATTACCTTCAGAGATTTTGTTTAGGCCTGGGTGACTTAGATAACATTCTCAAGGGTGTTACACTAGAATTTTCTGGACATGACCCCCAAGTCCTGACAAGTGCATTCAATTGCAGGAATTAACAATGACAAGTGAGCATGTCTTGTGAGGGGAATGATGCAGAATGTGGTAATGTAGCCCATATCACTGCATCCTCCCCATAACCTTGTTAGGGAGGCACTCTTTTCTTTCTAAGTATTTTATTAAGTGCATGATATTTATACAGGGGTTTTATTGTGACATTTCCATATATCCTACTATTATACCCTGATTGGGTTCATCCCTTCCATTAGTCTGCCTCCTACTCCATTCCCCCTCTTAAAGTGACTTCAACAGATCTCAATGTTCCATATTCACACTTGTATGGAAAGTATTCTTAATATCTTCATAGTAGGGTTTATAAAACTAAGCCTCAGGCAGGTCGAATCAGGCCCCAAATCACACGGCAAGTACACATGGGAACTTGGCCTACATTCCTAAGTTGTACTCTACATCTTATTTGCTTTACAGCTCAAATGACATAAAATGAAGTGATTTTGCTGTATCATTTAAGTGATTAGATTATAAATAGTCCCATCCACTTCTCAAAATGCATTCACTTTATCTGTTTTGTTAGACTAGGAAGTTTTAGAGGAGTTTCCTGCTAAAACTCAAAGAGGGAAGAGCTCTCACTTGGTTAGCTAGATTCAACCCATGTTTTTATTATCTCACTTAATCTTCCTTGGCTTTGATTATAGACATAGCCCCCTAACCTATTCCTCACTCAGACACAAAGCTACTCCATATAATGAAAAAGATACAAAGTTTAGTTAGGCATTCATATTGGGCAAAGCAGACATAAAAAATGGGAAAACACCATGAATAAGTGAGATTCAGAGACTTGGTTTGGGTGCATGTGTGTAAATTCTTTATATCATATCCAGTGTTCACGTTTTAACAGAAGAGCTCATGTTATATCAGGCTTTTGCATCCTTAAACTTTGCATGCAAGAATCTGGATCATGTGGACATCCTGCTAAAAAATTCAAGAGAGGTCACATGGGCAGCTGTTTGAGATGTTAGGGATTTATCCCTTGATGTGCAGGGTGGGTAAATCCTGCAAAGCAGCAATGTCAGACCCTGTGGCAGGAGTGAAATGCAAACTTCCTATGAGCCTCCCTCCCTACCTGTTCCTCCATCCAAGGAGGGCAATAGAGGGAGGAAAAAAAAAACCCACCTTGGGACTCCTGGCAAGAAGGATGTCCCAGACTGGGAGGGGGCAGGACAGAGCTCCCAGTCCCAGACTGGGAGGAGGCAATGTTTCCTAAAAGGGGAAGTAGCAAAGTCCAAGACAGCCAGTGAAAGCTGACTGGCGGTTTCACCACAGGGAAGCTACCTGACACTGTGTGTCTCCATCACCCTGTGCCCTGCTGGGGTTGGAGCATCCAGAAGACCGAAATGGCACCAGAAAAGGATGGAAAGCCAAAACAGGGTAGCACCCATTTCTCCCAAAAGGCTATTCTGTGCACTCTTCCATGGAATGAATGAAATAACTGCAACTTGCTCATTTCATAAAAAGCGTGATGGCTTGCTGTACTATTGCTTGTGCCATCTTTTCTGTGACCTACTTTTGATGGCTTTTCTTGGACACTTCATGGGACAAATTCCTTTATGCCATTGTCCTCCCCTAAGCTATCATAAAGCATATCTTGACATACGATGGGGGATCACTTCACTTGAGTAAATGTAAAAACACTAGGTCCCTTAATTTTGAAAAGTGATGAAAATTAACTCCTGGAAGTAAACTTGAGTATAGAACTTTTGTAATAGTCTACTTATTAAAAAAAAAATCTTTTAGAGGCTGGGGTTCATTGGTACAGCATGAGCTTAGCATATGTGAGGTTCTGGTTTCAATCCCTATCACGAAAACAAGTAAGTAAATAAGTCCCTTTAGAGTTGAGCTGATAACAAAAAGATGTCCTGGGAAATAAATGAGGACATGTATGTCATTGATTTGCTGGTGACTAGAGGTACTGCTTTTATATATCAACCTCAGATGTGTTTCTGTGCATCTGGAGAACTGGATCCATTTCTCAGTGCTTTGAGACAAAATGTCATCTTCCTCTGTCAGTATTTGGGCAGTTGTTAAGGTTTTGGTCTTAGAAAATAGTTTATTATGAGGTAACATCACTCTCTACAAAAAAAAAAAATGCATAAAGACTGGCACATCCCAACAGAGAAAATATCTCCTTGAGATTTCACTGTTGTCTGGGTAAAAATGGGCCAAAAAGATTCTATCCATACATGTTGTTTGGAGTGGAAATATTTTTAAATTGCAGGTTTGAATAAACATTATATGAAGCATAACTTTTAAAAAAAAATCTGTTGCCATTCTTAGAAACTACACTTCCTTAGAAAAACTCTTGTCTTTTCCTAAGACGACTTCTCTTGATATTAAGTGATCTGCAAACCCTGCCCCCATGGTCCTTTCTGGTTTTATGATAGAGCAGTCCTAGAGACAGGATTTGGATCTGAGACAAAGGCATGCAAGTGAAGAAACCTAACCTTTTGCTACATGATTTTTTCTTTTAAGAAAATCTTAGCTGAGGAGCTGGGCATAGTGTTTCATGCCTATTAATCTCAGCTGTGCAGAAGGCAGAGGTAACAGGATTAAGGTCCTAGGTCGACTGGCAAAAGAGTGACACCATATCTAAACTAAACAAAAGCAAAAAGAGCTGGGAATGTGGCTCAGTGATAGAGCTCCTGGGTCCTGAGTTCAAACTCTAGTACTGGGAAAGAAAGAAGGATGGAAACAGAGAAGGAAGGAATGGGGAAGAAAGGAAGGAAGGAAAGGGGGAAGGAAGGAGGAAAAGAAGGAAGGGGAAAGGAAGGAAGGGGGAGTGGAAAAGGGTGGGGGAAGGAAAAGAAGGAGGGAGAGAAGGAGGTAGAGCGGAAGGGAGGAGGAAGGAAGGAAAGAAATCTCAGCTGAGTCAGACCCCAGCTGAGGCACTGACATGGGTTAGGAGGCTCAATTCTCCCTTTGTTTAGGGCAATTGCTGGGAATGCACTCAGTTCTCTGCAAGGCACTCTCAGCCTTTAGGGTCACTTTGGGGAGTTAAGTAGTAAATGGACTTTTCATTAGATTCTCTCCCAGAATTCAAAGTTTATCCTAAAAAACTGATTTAAAAGAATCTCAATGTTGCATTATCAAGCAGGTAAAGCCTTATGAATTGGTGCTAATTTAGAAAAAAAAAAAAGACCAGTTTCCATGGCTGAGCTTTGGGAATGAAAGAATGTACTTAAAGTTAAATAGTTTTATTGATTTCTAATCAAGCCCAGAGCGGCTCTTTCATGAGAGAGTCTGCAAGTCCCCTAATGGCCAGGACTTGTAATTAGCTTGGAGAAATTGTTGAAGATGTTATTTTCATAGCTGTAAGGGCAACCTTTAGCTCAGTGTTTGTTTAAGAACTGCAAGATTCAGACCTAAGGGAAGATGTTACATACCTCACTTCTAAATAACAGTGCTGCAGATAAAGGCCTTGGGACCTCAGAAGTGACCTTATTTCTTACTTTTGTTGAGGTAATGTCACCATCTCAACATTTTTAGCAGGTTCTCCTGTGTTTCTTAATTTCATGTACAAAAGTGGGGAATTTGCTTGAGAAATCTCCAAGGGAAAAGGAACACTTCTTGGTGTGAACTGAACTCACATGTTAATTTGGGGGATTTAACTAAACATGTCATCAAAAAATAATTATAAAAATCATTCCCTGATTTAAAACACATCTTCCTTTATAAAACATTAGCTGAATACTGAATACAGCACTGGTTAAACTTTTTTATGCTTATGATATATTTTATTTTCCAGGCTAAGCTGATGAACTAAAAGATATTTTCCATACAGCTTAATTTTGTTGATGGAGAGTGTAAGGAGGCAGGTTTAGGCTGCCTTTGGGCAGGTAAGCAGACTAGTATGTTGTCATTCATCTCCTGAAGAAAGGTCTGCAGAGAACAAAATTACCTGGTGGATGGACCAGAGTCTACTTACTGCAGGCTTGGCCAACGCCACTTGGGAAAAATTTCAGGACATAATTGAATGTAAGTAGCCTCAAAAGTATATCCTAATGGAACCCTTAAAAATGGCATATTCATGCAGATTAACTGGGGATGGAGCCCATAGAAGATCAAACCCTGCCTCCACAAACATTGTAAATAAAGTGGGAAGAAAAAAATATTTATTGGGATACTCACATATTTAAAAAACATATGCTTTTTAAAACCCAAAGTAAAAGTTTTACTAATTTCATCTTATTCTCTTTTGTTTTAAAAACACTTGAAGCGGTAAAGAAACCAGACATCACACTCTTGTAAAATTTCCTTTAGTTACTTATGGTTTGGGGGGGAACACCCTCAGATCTTGAACATGTCAAAAATGAAAAGGACCCCTGGATGGTCTCAGGCTATGTATGTTAGAATCTGGTTTAAATTTGGACTTGAATTTAACATTGAGTTCCAGTGGAGTCCTGGGAAGAGATCTGAGCTGGGCAGAGGTCTGGGTGCTGGGGACCTGGGCACTTACCTTGCAACCTTCACAGGTGATACAGCGGTAGTGATACCCCGTGGCCTTGTCACCACACACTACGCAGAGCTCGTCTTTGTCTAAGTAGCTGGGAATGTACCCTGAGAAGGAGGGGCAAAGAGGAAGATTAGAAAACAATACCAGGTGAAAAATCAAAGATACCCCAGAGCTAAGTTCTCTAGCCAGAGGCAAGACTGGTTTGCTAAGAAGAGGCTAAAAACAGAGAAGACTTAATGAAACCAAAAACTAAGTGTCAGACATATTTGGAGCAATAGAGTGACATCAGCTCAGGATTTCCCCATGCCAGAAACACAGTTGAGATCTGTGTGCTGTGCTGTTAGACCCATGAATCAAGTTGGGAGGTCAGGATTTAAGACCCCCGGAACACTGAATTCTGGACAACACAATCTTGAAAGAGAGGTTTATTTCAGAACTTGTTCTCAAAATTGATCCACGTTAGAGTCAAGGCACCATGCAGTGAATTCAGAAACTTTCATGGCTCCAGACCTTGGGAAATCTTGAAGAAACTGGTCTTGGGGCTTTGACCTCTCTCAGGGTCCACTGGAAGTTACAGGGCAGAGACAGGAACCCAGAACTCTTACCATCAAGTGCCCAGGATAAGTTATGCCAGTCATCTTGTAAAAACAGAGAGTTTTAGTAGAATGAAAAAGGCCATCTAAAATTTTTTGGTAAACTTGTGATATTATAATATACAACCCAACACTACTAGGGTAGTGTAAAATAATTGCAGTTCCATTGATTAAGGAAAGAAAATTCAACCACCATAACTCCTTTTCAGCTTTTTATTTGGGCACACTGGGTCTTGATCTTGGGGTCTGGCACTTGTTAGGCAGGTGCTCTACCACTTGAGCACAATAAGTTCTTTTGTTAGTGTGCCCTTTGTTTGTTACTTTAAACCACCAAAGTTTACAAACAAAAACATGAGCCACCTGCTCCCACATGTTCTCTTGGAAAGTCTTTGACTAAGTAAACTTTTCTTAGTTTTAGTGAAGATTAGTTAGGTTGAAATGACCAATGACTTACTGTATTCCATTTTCATAGACTTTTTAAATTATAACTTTTTTATTAGAATATGTTCATTATACATGGAGGGGGATTCATGATGACAATTCTGATTAGGTTTATACTGTAGATTGGTTAGATCACCCCCACCATCTCCCCCCCCACCTTCCTGCCCCACTTAAAGCAATAGCAAGAGGTTTCTTTGTTCTATTTCATGTAAGTATATGAAGTCCATCAACCATATTCCCTCACCTTAATCTCCTTCATTCACCCTCCCCCTTCCTACTAGTAGTCCCCCCACTATACATGTTTTTTAGTCCTGTCTTTCATTATTAATACTTAAGTTGATGTTCAAAGGGGATTCTCAATGTATCCCCACTGTGGGTGTACTCAGGCCTTCCCGCTTGCTAGACAGGTGCCCTAGCAGTTGAGCCACAGCTCCAGACCTTTTTCGCTTTGTTTTCATAAACATGTTATTTATTTTTTTCCCTTTATCTATTCATTGTTCAATATATTTTTCTTTTTTTCATTTATTCATATGTGTATACAATGTTTGGGTCATTTCTCCCCCCTACCCCCTGCCCCCTTCCTCCCCCCATTCCCTCCCTCTCCCCCGCTACCCCCTCGCTTCCAGGCAGAAACTGTTTTGCCCCATCTCTAATTTTTTGAAGAGAGAGTATAAACAATAAGAAGGACAAAGCATTTTTGCTAGTTGAGATAGAGATAGCTATACAGGGAGATTCCTAGCATTGCTTCCATGTACAAATGTGTTACATCCTAAGTTCATAAACATTTTATTAACCAAGTTAATGAATGAAGGCCCCACTTTCCAGAAAATAAAAGCCATGAAGAAAACAGAAGGAAAAGGAATCATTTTCATAATTTCTTAGAAATTACTTTGCTGAAACTTTAATTTAGGAAAATGTGACTCCTTGGGAGGCAGATAATTGATCTCAAAATAAGATTTGGTAATGTACATTTTTAAATATCACAGTTTTTCTTAGTTTACTTTTGCATCAGGCAAGCCATGATTCATCTGTTGAATTCATTACAAGATTTCCAAAATCCTCATCAGGCACTTTTAAAAAGAGAATTCTGGGCAGGGTTTGGGCAGGACAAAAGGGAATTGAAATGATTTGTGTGTTCACTCAATCACTCATCTATTCATGAACTTTTTTTTAGCAGGTACTATGTGATAAGCATTATGGTTGGTGCTGAGAACATGAAAATGAATGAAGTACTTTTCCTTTGGGAAGTGTGCAAGTCCCTCGTACTAGTTTTCCAGCTCTGGTCATTGCTCTGTGAGAGAAAGAGGTGGAAAAAAAGGAAAGGACATGAATGAAGTTGAGTGTGATCGCAGAGAAGTGCAAGACAACAGCCTCAGTGAGATTCCAATTCAGTCACTAGGATGGTTTTCGCAAAAATGACAGACAACAAGTGGTGGAAAGGATGTGTGCTCAGGGGTTTGTGTGGCAGATAAACACCTACTTACAAAGCACAAGGAAAGTTTTAACCAACAGTAACCCAGTTACTAAAATGAGCGTCTTCCTGGTAAAAGCAGATAGACCTTGACCTCTATACTTCTGAACTGTGTACAACTGATTCAGAAAGACTTTTGAATTCTTGGTATCACATGTAGACTGCAGAGATAAAGGAGGAAGAGGTGAAGATCATTTCCCTCTAATCTCATGTGTAGGAACCAACTGTGATACAGTGGGATACGGTGCCGTGGCCTGGGGACACACCTTAGGAAAGTCACAACGTGGTATCTGGGGGCATTAGCCAGAGTTGGGAAGATACAAGTAATTTACCATCACCTCCCCATTCCTTGTCCTCACCACCTTTGCTGCCCTTAGCTTTTGGAGTTGGCAGTAAAACACAGAAGATTTTCTTCTCTCTGTGGTTGAACAATTTATTTGAATGTTTGACCTGTAATGGTTCTTGCAAACCCTGGAATCCAAATCTCATTCAGTCAGAGATTAGAATGGTCTCTTTCCATATTCTGACTGCTAGAGGATAAATGATTTGTTTTACTCTCATTTCCCCTAGATTATTTTCTAGGTGGGTAGAGGTGATTGGATGTCTTTAGTTAAATCCAGCCTTCTGCAGCAACACATACTTGAGGCAGAAGCAGCTGCTTACATGATTGTACTAGTGCGCTCCACCTATCCCTTTCTTTTCTCTGCAGTATCACCTCTGAGCCATTTTAGTTATCTAAAACAGTCACCACAAGTAATGATCCATCAGTCCTTATGCCTGCACCCATTATTCATCATGAAGTAGCTTCTACCAGGGAAGAATGTCCCCCACATAGTGATCAGGTAGGAGCGGGTTCTCTTTAGGGTACCAATAACATCGCACACCTCTGGAGAACTTCGCCAGTTTTTGCTGTTTTATTTCAGGGTCTCCATCTTTTCACTTTTTCACACTCACAAAAGAGTCACATGCCAGTCAATATGCCCACCAAGGAAATGCATGAGTCACAGTTCTATTGCCAAGTGGGGACACTCTGGGTGTCGTCATGCCAGGTAGGTCTGTCTAGAAACAGATGTGAAAGGCAACCCTGAAGCTACATTGTTCATCTGAAGAACTGTACAGGCAAGTTGTCCCAGGGAACTGGTAGAGAAACCTGGCTAATAGTACTTTCCCCTCAGAACAACTAAGACCCATGACAACATATGATGAAGGACAATAAATTGTCACCAGCTCCCTATTTGCTCATAAGCATTACTTTTCAGACGAAGACCGATGCTGCCATTTTATCAAGCATATTTTTATGAAAGCAAACTGCATCTGCTTGCCCAAAAAATGACCTTGAGATTTTGTTTTTTAGTGGATGTTTAGTAATGTTGAGTTAGTTGTGAAGTATCCACTTGCATATAAAATAGGCTGAGGCCAGGTGTGGTGATACATGCCTATAATCCCAGCTACTTGGGAGGAAGAAGTAGGAAGACCGGGGTTCAAGGCCAGCCCAGGCAAAAGCACAAGATCCTATCTAAGAAACAAGCTAAAAACAGAAAGGAACTAAGAGTGTGGTTCAAGTGTGCAAGGTCCTGAGTTCAAGCCCCCGTACCATAAAATATTATTAACTTTTTAAAAATCTGTTTTGGTAACAGCTTTATTAAGATATAATTCACATACTATTCAGTTCAATGACTTTTAATATATTCACAGAATTGTGATTCCATCACCACTATCAGTCTTAGAACATTTTCATCATCCCCAAAAGAAACTCTATAAGTTTAGCCATCACCCTCATCCCTGTCGTCTCCTCTATCCCTTCTGCCCTAGGCAACCACTAATATAGTCTCTGATTTGTCTATTCTGGACATTTCATACAAATGGGATTGTACAATACGTGATCTTTTGTGACTGGCTTTCACTTAGAGTGTTTTCAAGGTTCATCCATGTTGCAACTAACACTGATTTAAAAAATGGATTCTCAGAGAGATTTGAGGTATAGAAGGGGAAAGTTTCGTGCCTTTGCACCAGAAATCATGCCACAGATGGTAACTGGTTTCTTGGTTTACACTAGATCTAATGCTTTCTGTGTTGGGAAAAGTCAGAAGGCTGGCTAGTTTAATTTTTTTGAGTGAATGACAATAGCAGGGCAGGTCCCAGGAGGAGAACCCCTGGTACTTCTTGTTATCCTGCCAGACACACAGCCTTGAGGAAATACAATAGAAAGCAGATGAATCTTGCCAGTCAATCTAAAGCACAGGGTGTGACCTGGGAAGAAGGAGAGCGAGCTGAGTTTGGAGACCTTTCCACCACAGCTTAATCCTGCCTTGGGTGTAGACTACCTATCCAACAGAACCAGTCCTGGTGTCTTAGGGAGCGGTTGTTACCCATGGTGAAAAGTCCAGGGCAGGTCAGAGAAGTACAGATGCAGCTGGATGCTAACTGTCTATCTGGAAAACTGCAAGTGCACGTTGCCTTAGGTAACTCTGAAGAGGCCTGGTTAATAACCTCAGATAACAGTTCAGATGAGTTCTGACCCATCCTGTAGAATTATTAGCTCAGAGCCGGCATTCTTGGGTGGGGTCCCTGGGTGGGCTGGGACAGGACATAGGATGAG